AGTAAGTGCCTGTATCCCCTTTGTTCTCTTCTGCACCTTCTTGGTTCTAATCAGTCAGTTACCTGTCCAACAGCCAGTTCTCTTTCCGGACTCCTCACTAATACCCTTGTTCTGTTCTTGTTCCTCACCCTCTATAAACACATATAAAATCCAACCTGTTCAACCGTGTGCTGAGGATGAAGGTGGTGAGAAGCCTGCCGGGAGTTCCCAGGGCAGGGGAGGAGGCTGAATTAATAGGTAACCCAGAGATGAGGTGTGGGGAAGTGTAGGGATGCAGCAATGTGCAGGGAATCACGGGACACTCTGTGCAGGGCCTCATGGGAAGGCTCAGAATGGCTCCGGAGCTGGGATGGTGGCAGGAGAACTCCTTTACTGTCCCCTAATCTTCCTATCTAAAGAAAAGTCAAGAAGGAAGGGAGGAGCAAGCCTTGGGCTAACCCTGAGCCACTCCTTTTCATTGCTTCATCAACATAAAAGTGGTTTATGATCCATTGTTAACTACAGAGAAGACAGCTAGTGACAGATAAGTGCACACACTGAGAAGGGACTTGCTCAGCCACAGACAGGCACAATGCTCATTAGTAAAGGGCCCCCAGTCTGTCAAGGCAGGATGGGATGGGCTTTCATTTTCGATACCTGTATTGCCCAAACCAATTCAGAACGTAAAGGTGCTTCTAAAACAAAGCTTTTAGAATTGATAGATTGTTTAGGCAAACACACTCTTACTTGCAGGAAAATAAACCAGGTTCAACACTACTGCATGGAGGTCAAGTTTATGCTCATCCAATTAACCATCATTAACTCTGTCCATACTTAATCATACCCCAACCCAGCTGATTCTCAGCAGACACTCAGCAGACACAGTTGCTTTGCTCTAAAGCCGTAAATTCATCTAATTGAGTATTGCATGTAGCTAATTAAATATGAAAATAGGATTGTGTATAGCCAAGTTTCCAGAATGCTCCTTGAACTTGTGGATTCTGATTTGCATTTACTATAGAAACGCGTGGCCTTCTGGCCAACTGGCTAACAGACTGATGTAGAAAGGATTATGAAAACATACACATATAGTTTTCTGGTAAACTGCAGTTATGCGGTAAAATTTTTGCTTTTTAAAACCAACAACTTGAAGTGGCATAAAAACAGCACAAATTAGCCTTTTTTTTTTTATTACTGAGAGGCAGAGCACAGTATTTTCGAATTATTTATTCTTCATACTGCCGAGGCAGTTTATGGGAATTCTGTGCTCCACCTGATCTCCCTTCTCTTTGCCGGCCAGTCTCCATCGATCTGACGAACTAGAGGCTCTGTAACAACCTGTCACTTGTAAGAAAACAGACCCAAGTGCTCCAGGCTGTCGGAGGTGCCACGCAGCAGGCAGCCTTGTTTGAGAAGGTGGGGTGTGCACAGTCCCACAGAGCTGTGGGGAGGTTTAAAACAACCCACTGTTCATATAATATTGGTCAGCCATTCATTGGCAAGAGAAGAACTGACAAATGGAATCATAACACAAATGTCACTCCCAGTCCCACGTATAATTCGTTTGTGTGTATGTTTCTTCATCTTTCAAGTGGGGATGATAATTTGAGGATCTGATGGGTATTAGCACAGTGCCAGCACAGAGTAAGTGCTCAATAAATAATACTGCATTTGCTGCAATGAATGCCGCTGCAATTACAACAATATAGTTTCCTTGCCACCTTGACATTGTCCATGCAGAATTTAGTGAATGTGTTTGTTTCTAAAATTTGTAGTTGGAAGCCTCAGTCCAAACCAGAATTAGTTCCTTGTTGCCAAATTAAATTAGTAAAGGTCACAAAGAGTCTATGGCTGACCGGAGAAGAGGTGGAGGGAATGAAAGGTCCTGCCTGGTATGTTGCTCCTTTCCCCATCCCGCACGCCTGTACCCGAAGACCCTCCTCGGAGCGTCCACACAGTGGCCTTCCCCTTGGCCTGAGCAGACAGCACAGCTGGGTGCAGGGCTGGTGCTGAGCCTGCAGTGGAGTCGCCGCCCCAAGCTCACAGAGCCACAGGCGTCCCCATCCCTGAAACCCTCTCCCACCCGAGTCCTGATGACCAGGTGCCCAGCTCTTGCTGGATTCCAGCCACAGCCCTAGAGCTGCAAGGCTCCCCATCCCGTTACCCCTGAACATGACATCCTGGGGTAAGTTAGCTTACCCAAGTGGAAGCCTGCACCCCTTGATAGGCTGAATGTATGCTCCTCTCCTACTTCCCTGTCCTTTTGCTTTAACCATGCTTCTCTTTTTAAACAGTATGCAAAGTCACCTGGCACAGGCCAGTTTCCCAAAGCACGGAGCAACTGCTAACTTAAACTTGAAATGCCCGAGAGGCACGGGCCCTGTGTTGCTGCTCCCTGGGACACACAGTTACCGTAAGAGCACCAATAACTGCCTTCACTTACTGATCTTACAACTCCAGGACAGGCAAGGGGCTTGTCCTGAGCTCTCCTCAGCAGTACCCACAACGTGCCCATGAGCTCAGTGCTTCCTTTACCCTGTGGCACATATCACCGACATGTCTGTGCCCTGTGTGGCACCCTTCAGCAACCGGGCAGCTTCATGGGCTGCTGTTGTTTTCCTAATGTGATTAAAGGAACAATAAGGTATGTGTGCAACAAGAGGCAAAGCCATTGTTCTGCATCATTAAGCTCACAGCAGCCCCAAAAAGAAACTGTAGGCAGGTTGCCAAAGGCTCTAATGAAGAGCATCTCTTTGAATTATCTCTGGATGAGGAAAGGAAAGTCTGAGCCTCGAAATATTTGATCCTCTTTGTGCTGCTGTTACTAGGGCTCACTGAAGCCAGACACACTGGACCTTCTGGAGCTGTGATTTATGGAAACCTTAATTTCTCTGCGCTAATAAGGCTTTGCATAGTAAGAGTGGGAATGCAGTTATTAATTCCCGCAAGTGTTTTGTGAATTCCTTTATGCTACAGTTCAGGACTTCCAACGCATAGGAGAAGGGGTTTTACTTAGTTGGCACAAGGGTAATGGGTCTGAAAAGTAGTTTGAGTTTCCTGAAAATAAATCTGCATGGCTTCCTAAATTGCTGACAAAGTGTATTCCAGATGGAAGTCATTTATCAGCAACTTACTGCACAATGCTTTGGCCAGAAATATTTCCACATAAATCCATCTAGTACAAAACAAACAAACAGAATCTAGGTGGCTTCCTTTTGGGGGCAGACGGAGGATGAGCCCCAATACTACAGATGAATAAAGCATCAGTTAACACAGATTTGCAGGACATAGGACAGGATTAATTTTGGATGGTGCAAGTGTAATTTTTATATTTAGAGCAATGAACGATAAATGGTATTTTTGTGCACTGAAAGTTAAAAGTGAAAAAACAGCAAGTTATTGAACCTGCACTTTCACACACTGTATTCACTTTATAAGTAGTGGTGAAAGTCTGTAATACCACTGCCTAGCTGATGGTTCTGTTTTCCGCTTGCTTCAGTTCAGAATGTATGACTCCCTGAGAAGCAGAGGCTCACAGCTTATATTGCACATCATACCTTGGCAAAGTCATGATTACAACATCACTACATGGTCCCATAAGGGACAGGAGCCCCATTTCTGGTGGCAACACCACTTCTGCCCAGACCTCTGATAGGAGCCCAGCCTGCTTTCAGAAGGACAGGAGTCCAGCAGAGTCCGGAGCACGACATTATAGGTCAGAAGTACATTTCCCAGACTTGCCTCAGATGCTTGGTTTTTATAAGGTATGTGCCCTCTGCACAGGAGTTGGGGTGGGGCTCCCAGGAACCAAAAGGTTTGTTTTGATCCTATGGCTCGGTGTGGAAAACACACACACATGCTCGTGTTATTCATTCGGGGTCCCTCTAACATTAGATTTTGTCCATAGAGGCAGTTGGCTCACATAGGCAGCTGTCTCACTCAGTCTTTTAAATGCCAAGCGCCCCCTGGTGGCTTGTACAAAAATGACACCCAATTGATGGCTAATCGAATTCTTTTTTAAGCCAAGTCTGGTCCTTTAAAAGAATATATTAATATACCATTAATTGTGTTAGACTAAAAAGCAAGCACCTTTTTTTCTCACTCTAACAACCTTCATATGCTGTTCTAACATTAAAACACAGCCTTTTAAACGGGATTATGATTTTTTGATTACTGAAGAAAAATGGGACGGATTTAGAGTGATTTAAGGGGAAAACCCTCACTTGCCAAGTCAGTACTATGAAAATCTCCTAGTCCACAATAAGATTTGAATATTTAAAAATAAAACACTCTACACAAATGTAAGATGAGTTACCTGGAGTATGGAGTATACCATAAATAATCCCATTTCATCACAAGTGAAATTTCACATTAGTAATGACGCAGAAGTTTCACGAAGTGGATGACAGCACTCAAGATCATGCCACTTGCTCTTGAAGTTCTTACAATTTTCTGAGAGAGGTACAGAAAAGGCAAGCGTGAAGCATAGATATGAAGCACACGTCCCAGTCCTGGGAGTTGCTGCAAGAATGAGGTCTGCAGTACACACAACATTAGGGCCCCATGGAAAGGAGCGCCTTGTAACTATTTGTAAACAGAGACAAAACCGTGCAAGCATTAATCATCGTGCGCGTCTCTTCCAGCTTGTTCAAAGGGTATGTGACCACGCTTTGACCTGAAGACATTCTTGTGACACCCTGGACAGCGGTCACTTGTAAAGGAGCTATGTGACGGGACTGCTTGAAAAACATTTTATGACTGTCAACATCTATTTAAATATTCAAATATGGGCACTTGAGTGCCACTGTGAGGGAAATTATGCACGCGATATAATAGCAAATACACAGAAAAGTCAGAAAGGCTGTCTTGTTCAGAACACAAATATGCACACAAATCCCCAATTCCTTTCCCGGAAGTTACGCTCTGCCAGGTGAGTGCCCTGCACTCCCACAGAATAAAAGGCCATGCGTTACCTGACAAACTTCATAGAGTAATTTGTACTGCTCCTCTTGCTTCTGCAGGCTGCACAAACTGCATCCCATGTTTAGAGGAACGTCAAAGGAGGCTTCAGTACTCGCCAGCGCCCGGGAGAAGCTGCTCCCTCAGCTTGCAGACATGTAGGTATCCTCAGAGAGAGCCTCAGGTGTGCCGGGCGGCTGCAATACTTCACATTGGCATTGCTCTCTACGGCTGAAAACAACTCTCTGCCTGTCCACGCTCCCCTCCTTCCCTCGCAGCATGCACGCGAGTGCGCGCGCGCACACACACACACACACACACACACACTCCCTCCTCTGAGGGACTCTGGCAGCTGGATTGTGGTCCAATGCACACGCTATATATACTGCTGCTCATGCATATTAATCAGCTCTCATTGACTATTCATAACAGACAATGATACAGAAGCTATAATTGCCAACTATGACAGTTGAAATTTCTCTAATTAACAAGCAAGTGTTCCAGAGATAGGGAATAATAAAAGACACTAACAATTTTGCAAGCCATTTCCTGGCACTTACAAATAAACATGACTGCATTTTTAGTAAGGTCTCCTAGGATAATCCCTAATGCATTTAAGCTAAGTAGAAATTCATTTTTAAATATATCATAAAATTTCTGATGATATAAATGTATTTAATGCTGCAGATAATGATGGCATATAAATGGGTTTTATAGAATGCACATGTTTTGAATAATGTTCATATAATATTTAGCGCTTTACTAAGTTGCAGGAAAAATCCTCCACATATGAATAAAATACAAAAATTTAAATTGCGAGATATATGCTGCATATGCAAAGTTAACCAGGGGTTGTTAAGGAGAGAGGCTGCCCTAAAGGTGAGCAAGAGGATCATCTTTGCTAAAGTGCATTTTTAATTCCCAAAGCAGAAAGTTATTTTTTTCAAGGGCTGCCCAGCCCACTGGAAGAAAGAGAAGCGACCAGCTTCGTGCCATCTCCATGGCTATGTAGATGTTGCAGATATCTCAGAGCCCATGCCACCCAGCTAATTGCCACTGGCCACAACAGATCTGTACCTACTCTGTATCTGCCTAGACTTTGCCCTGTGCCCTGTGTCAGGAGAACAGGGAACTGTAATCACAGACCGAAAGAAGGTGAGCACAGATGGCATTTAAGGGTTTTAGTCCTTGCTGTGTTGTTTCTTGACTCCCTTTCATTCAGCTTCTGTCCCCCCAAGTTTGATGGCTTTAAAAAAAAAAACCTTCTTTTTTTAAGTGATTGCCCCACTACCTGAATGAAATGCACAGGGGCCATTTTTTTGGAACCAAAATTGTTGATACGTGGAATTCTCACAGTTGCTCCCACAGCCTTCCCCCTTTCATTTTAGAAAGGTTGAACTGTCAGGCGGACTCCCACGTCTCCTGTCACGTGGCCTGACGAATAATGGTACCTTTCTCTGGGAGCTGAGATACACCTGTGACGTGATTAAACCAGTCCCAATAAAACCCCGAGTGGGCTGGCAGCCAGCACATACATCTGGTCCCCTGTTTGGACCTGGAAGATGCAGCATGACTGTGTGGCTTGGCTCTGCTAACAGCCCTGGCTTGCTGGAGGGGAAAGAAGAGAGCCTTGGTCTCACGCCCTCTCCTGGTGTCCCTGTCTGGGCTGCAGCAGAAAGCTGAGGCACGCAACAAGGAAAGGAAGCCACGGATGGAGCGGGCCAGTGGCAGTGACCTCTCACTTGCTTTGAGGCTGGCAGGGCCCATGAGCAAGTTATTAGGACCTCAGCTTCCTAATCTCCAAGTATGTCTCACACTAACTGCCTGCAGAGTTGTGCTGCAGGGATGTGACACAAGCTGCTCACCTGGCCTCAGAGGTCACACTTGTTCACATGCCTCGCCTCATTCCCAGAGCCTGCCATCAGCGAGTTTGCTCTCTCCTTCTCCAACTTAGATCTCATCCCCGTCCACTTCCGTCTGTTGCCCATCCTCCTGTCCCCCATCCAGTGGACCCACCGTCTAGTCTCACCTGGGAGAGAGCCTCTGTCTGCTTCCTTCCGCCTCCCCATGAGTGACCCCTCCTCCCAACTCACTGTCCACACACCTGCCAGGTTGGTCCTTACAAAGCAGAAATGAGATCATTTCTTTTGCTCACTTCAAAACCCTTCAATGGCTTCTCACCACACTTGGATTAAAACCAAATTCTGCACTATGGCCTCCAGTGTCCTGTAAAATATGGTCCTTGCCCATCAATTTCTCCATTCATCTCCCCCTGCTCCACTGCTCACCTCACTCCCTCCAGGACATAGCCTCCCTTAGGGCCTTTGCCATTTTACAAAAATTTTTTTAAATTGAAGAGTAGTTGATACATATCATTAGTTCAGGTGTACAACACAGTAATTCTGCAATTATATATGGTATGAAATGCTCACCATGGAAAGTGCAGTTCCCACCTGTCATCATGTAAAGGTGTCACAGGGGGGCTGACATGCTCCCTGTGCTGTGCTTCCCATCCCCATGGCTTCTTCCTCTAGTAACTGGAAGCTTGTTCCTCTTAATCCCCTTCACCTATGCTGCCATCCCTCCACCCCATCCCCTGTGACAACCAGCAGTTTGTTCTCTGCATTTATGGTCTGTTTCTGCTGTTCATTTGCTCACTTCATTTCTAAGATGCACAGGTGAGTCAGATCCTATGGTATTTGTCTCTGTCTGACTTGCATCACTCAGCAGAATGTCCTCTCTGGCCGTCCATGCTGTCATGAACGGTAAGTACATTTGGGGTTCCCTCTGCCAGAACTGTTTCTCCCTGTCTTTGTACCCCCTTAACACTCCCATCTCAGCACAAATAAAGCCTCTTTAGAGAAGCCTTTGCGGGCACCCCAAATGAATTCTGTCTCAATCCTCCAAATTATGGGATCTGATCATCCCATTCACTTCCTCAGCATCTCCCTTTAAAATGAGTAATGACCCTGTTCACTTTTGCTTATTTTGTGACTGTCTTCTTGCCCCAAAGGTAGGGGCCATGTGTGAATTTCCACTACAGTTCAGCTCTGGGAAGGTGCTGGGGATGCACCTGTCTTTTGGCTGAGTGAATAGAGGCAGGCTGGCCCCGAGGTGCCACAGACTCAGACATTACAGTGCCAACGAGAAGGGCCGCATGCAGAGGTAAAGGGTGTGCTTGGGTCCCCACGAAGGAACCCTGATGGGTTTTCCTCCCCCAGGGCTGTGGACTTTAAATTACTTCCTTGCAAGGTTTTGCATTTCACAGTAGCTCTTCTCCAGCTTTTTCCTGCACACCCACAAACCAGTGCAGAAGTGGGCCCTTAACTAAATGGATAGGGAACTTAGGCAAATCCCTTTACTCTGTTAAAACTCTCAGAGCTAAATCACAGGCCAGGAGAGTTTTATCACCCATTGCCCTGGACTTCAAAGCAGTGTTTCTCAAACTTCTGGGTCTTTGGAACCCCTTCATACTCTTAAAAAATTTTGAGAACCCTCAATGGCTTTTGTTTATGTGGATCATACCTATTGATGCTTATCATGTTAGAAACAATCAAATTCAAAAATAGTTTTTCTTCAATTCAAATCAAAGAACAATGATGAACCCATTACCTATTCATTAAAGTAACATTTCCATGAAATTTTTTTCCAAAAAAGTAATTTTTTGTAAAGAATGACATTGTTTTACATTTTTATAAAGTTGTCTTGCTTAATTGAAGACAACTGGCTTTTCACATTTGCTCCTGTGCTGAGTCATTTCTGGTGTGTCATAGAGAAGTCTCTAGAAAACTCTACTGGACTGTATGCTCATAACAGAGTAAGGGTGAAAGAGGAACCTGACATCTTAGCATTTTTATGTAGTTAGTTCTGTCCTCACAGACCCTCCCCAGACCGCCAAGTACCCCATGGTGCCTGGCTCACACTCTGAGAACTGCTGTGTGACATATTACTGGAACGTATGCTTGGAATCAACAATAATGCCAACACCCACGTTCCCATTATGCCCAAAACAAAACTTTACTGAAGTGATGATTTGCCTTAAAAATACCCTTTACTGTGGAAAATAACTTAGAGCACCTAGAATAGTCTCATTGTCACACTGTTGTTTCCTGAGGGTGTGTAAGAAACACCCCACTGTATGAAAGGATTGTGTGTCACCTGTACTGTCCTGCACACCATGGCACTGAACACCACAGATCTGAACGGTACAGAGCATCTTAGTGCGTTAGGGACAGGAAGCTATTTACAATATAACTGTTTTTGACAGAACAGCTGTCCCCATAAACAGGAGAAACTCCTGGCCGAACAAAGGCACACACTATCTGGAGAAGGTGTTGCATGTCCTCTTCAAGTCAGTGATCGCATTGTGGGAAAGCATCTGATAAGCTCGCCAGGGCCCCTCTGCCCCATCAGATGCCCACCTCCTCCTGTGGGCATGAGAAGTACAGTGCAAAGCCAGGGCACCGAGGCCATGCAGAGACTGTCAGACGGGAGAGGCACGGACAGTCAGGGCTGAAGGTGCCCTGGGAACACCTGTGTAATCACTCTTTGAACTTCCGTAAGTCACCAGGGGATGCTGCTGGAGTCACCAGGTGGAGACATGGACTTAGACTCACTTAGCTGCAGGAATATATCTACTTCGAGCATATCATTTGCAGCACACAGACTGGGGTGTCTGTCTCATACCTGTGATGTGACCTTGTTCTTCCCGGTGTGTGATGAGTGCAGGACCCCTCAAACCAGGCAGCCAGCTGAGCGATCCCTTCTGGGAAGGGCCGTGACAAAAAAAGAACTCGGGCCATGGGGCCAAACAGGAAACCAAGTCCGTAAGAAGCAACAGAGGCCTGTGGGGACCGGCACTGCTTGCCTCAGGGTGAATCCCGCCTCACCCCAGGCCCTAAGTGCCGGCCCACTGGGTCTGCCTTGCCATAGGATCTTTTCAGCTTTCTTCTGGATCACACTGATTCACTAATTTGGCTTCTTCATCATTCAAACCTCACTCTCAGTTTAATTCCTACTGTACAATGCAGCTACACAAACACAAACAGCTGATAAGCCCACCACCCTGCAGACCCAGTCCAAGCTTGCAAGCATGTGGCCCCGGCTCCGGCCTCCTCTGTAGTCTGGCAGCACTTCCTGGGTTAGATTCCTTCGTGCCTCCATATCTGTGCACCTGCTGGGCCTTGGCCTGGACTGTCCAACTCCATCATCTTTGCCCCTTAAGCCTCCCCTTTCTGCCCCAGTGACAGGGACCCCCAGGGCACACTGCACTTCTGCTGCCCCCGTATGGCACAGTTCACACTGCAGGGTCCTCTGCCTTTGCGTCACTCCTCCTTCACTGGAGATGGCTCTGCCAGTGCAAGGTGCAGGCCTAACTCAGCTACGCATGCCCACCTCTCCCCGCAACCACAGATGCTCAATATACATCTGATGCATACCTTCAGCATCTGGTATTACTGAGCGCCTGCTCTGTACCAGGAGCTCTCCTGGGTTCTGAGAATACAACAGTGACCCAAATGGACAAAGACGTCTGCTCTCTGCCATGAGAAGATGAGGGCCATAAACCTGGAAATGGCACTTTTCATTCCTGCCAGGGTCTGAATGTGTGTGCCCTCCCCAAATTCATACACTGAAAATCCTACTGCCTAATGTGATGGCATCAGGCCCGGGGGGCCCTTGGGAGGAGCTCAGGGCATGAGGGTGGAACCCTCAGGAAGGAATCAGTGCCCTAGGAAGACAGACCCCACAGAGCTCCCGGCCCTTCCATTGGGTGATGACACAACTCACCGTCCGCGACCGAGCGGCAAGCCTTCACCCAGTCACGCCGGCACGCTGATGGTGCACCACCACCTCCGGAGCTTGGGGCAGTCAGTGTCTGCTGTTTATAACCACAGAGTCTGTGTTCCTTTGTTTCAGGATGAGGACAGCACCAAGCAGTACTCAGATTCACGAGAGCAGCCCTAACGGCCTAAGAGGAGCACCTTTTGTAGAACTGAAAATTGCTCCTACAAGTCCTGGCCAGAGACTCAAAATCACCATGTGCTGAGGAAACGGTTTAGTAATTTCTAGTTTGACCCTCACCTTTGTCAAGGGGACTTTCATCAGCTTGACTGAACCACATTTAGTAAGTTCTCGAACTGATCCTTGAACAAGGGGTAGGAATTGCTAGAAAGCTAAGTGTGGATGAAAAACAAATCATCGTAGTGAAGGGAAAAAAAAATTCAAGGATGTTAGAACACACACACGCTTAATGTCAGAAGAGTTGAAAAAATACATATTAGTAGCTATGAGTGCACTTTTGTTTCTGAAAAGCTATATAAGCTCAGAACATCTGCTTGGGACCTCAAAGCTTATTTTTAAAAATGAAAGGATATTTTTCTCTTGCCAAATTGACTAAGGTGCTCCTGTGCTGAGGGTGTTTCCTCTGGGCTCCCGGAGACTGAGAGCTCACCCCTCGCACCTGGAGGACTCTGGGGACGAAGCGTGCACCGAGCCTGGGAGGGAGCGGGCAGCAGGGGGGGGGGGCATGCAGCTGCTGTGCCCTCCCCGCAGCCGCCACTCAAACACCACATGCCGAGGAGCATCGGCTCCAGGAGGCACTCAGTGGGCCACAAACCAGCTGCTGGGCCGGAAAACAGCAAGAGCGACAAGGACCAGTCACGGGGAGGCCGGAACACGGACAACTTTGCTGAAGGCAGCCAGTGTCCAAGAGCTCGGATAGGCTTTGACTTCAGCAGAACATGCCCATTTCCTAATGGCCTTGGGGCTTGGGGACGCTAGTGGGGATGCTTTTGTCCCTTGGAGGCCCCAGGCACGTGTGTGTTTCTGGTGGTGTTAGTGCCTTTTCCTACCATTACAACAACGTGTCTGCCTCCATTTCTCTGGTGAGATTTGAAATTCCTGGAGGGTGGATACCTGAGTCACCTCTGTGACCCCTGAAAAGCCTGGAACAATATCAAACCCCAAGGAGGCCTTGCCAGGTGTGTGTGGGTTTGTCACAAAGAGGAGAGAGCACGCACATGCAGGTCTGGGGCTGTGAGTGGCCCAGGGAACTCAGCCCAGTGCACTCCAATGACTTGCAGAGGTCAAGAAATTCACCGCCTCCTGGGAACCTGGTTTCCCCACCCTACAGGACTGCAGCTTACAGGACCCGTGGGGCCCTGGTGGTGGGTAGAGGGCTTAGTAAACAAGACCAAGCTTGGAAAGTTCTTGGAAGGCAGCCTGTTAGGTGTGCAATAAACCAAAAGGAAAATAACGCACTTGGAGAACCCTGAGTCCCTGCTAGTGTGTCCCAGGGGTCGGCAGGCTTTCACTGTATAGTGCCGGATGCATTAAATATTTCCATTTTGTGGGTCAAGAGACAAAATCAAGGACACTATGTAGGAATTTCTATAACAACCATTTCCATCTGGAAATAGGCTGCTGTCTAGATCTGGCCTGTGGACCTTAATATGCCAAGCAGACTATCACAGACTGAGCCAGGAGCTCTTTGGTACTCACTGACTGATATGCTGGGGCAGACACCCCTCTCGTCCCCATTTTATGCAAGAGGGAACTGAGGGTCAGGGAGGCAAAGTGATTTACTCTGGAGCACACAGCTCTGCAAAGGCAGAGATGAGATGGGGTTGAGTCCGGGTAACCCCAAAACACGTGAGCTGCTCTGTGTGCATTTGTCTCCTGAGACCTACACGTTCACGATGGATGCTGGGGCATGAAAACAGGCTGCAGAAGCTGGCTTCTTGTTGGGTAATGGCAGGAGATACTAAAGAAAACAATCTAAGAATCGCAATGTACTCACGATGTTCCTGATCAACATGCAAAATCTGTAAATAATTGGCCTGATCAATGGGACAAAGCACGGCTTGCTGACACTGTGATGTGTTCCTATCTCACTGTGAGTATTATTTTCCCTTTTCATATTTACAGTCACCCAGCAGCCTGACCCCCAGCACTCCTACCAATCCTGGGGGATATGAAGTATCTCATGGCCCCACGCAGCCTCTGTGCCCATACAAATGCAACAGATGCATCAAAAGCTTCCTTCTGAGTGGCAATATGGGGGTGACAAATACCCTGTGAGTCACCTGAGGCCCACTGGGAACCGCGTGGGTCTGCACCAACCACGGGGCATGGGGTTCCACCTGACAGCGGGAAAGAGGATTTGAGGCCTGGAGCCCAGGCAGCAGAGAGGGAGAGAAGGAGGTGTGACCGCAAGAGGCGTGTGAACACAGAGGCAGGGGAAGGGAAGATGCCTGAGAGGCAGCGGGACAGGACTTGAGGAATGAAGGTGGGCCACACCTGTCCTTCAAAGTCATGGATGGCATAAGCCTGGCCTAGGCGGAGGAGAGGGAACTTGGAGGGAAGCATGTGATGGTAGAGAACAGCCCACACAGGGCACATGGAGGAAAAGGGGAGGGGGAGCCCCAGAACTGGAGCTGAGGGATACAGGAAAAAGGCACCACTGTGTTCTTGTGGAGGCAGAGAAACGACCAGAAAAACAGGCTGGGACAAATGTACATAAATGGACAACTGAGCATCACACAACCTTGGAGGGACAGAAGAGAAGATCTGATCTCATCCCATTCAGTTAGAGGTCATAAAGTATGTGGTGCAGTGCAGCAGCTTCCAAATTTTGGATTATGTGCTGAGATCTGACCTACAGGGGCGTGCGTCCCTATGTGATGAGCACGAGAAGGAACAGAGTAAAGGCTGTCCAGGGACATGGTCCCCACTGCCCTCCCAGGCCTCCTCGCTGGCTAGCTGAAGCTGGGCACACCCCGGTCCCTGTGGCGTGGCTTATATATTAAAATACAAACTGTAAGGGGTCTCGGTGTCAGGTCACACGTGGAGGCTGCAGGCCTGCCTCCCTCCTGTGCCTCTGGGGAGGCAGTGCCCCCCAACACTGGGTCTCCTGTGGGCTCACGTCCGGAGGGGGCATGGGAACAAGGCTGCTCCCAGCTCACCAACAGCAACAGAGGAGAGCGGCAGTGGGCGTCAGTGCTGTGGGGGCACAAGATGGGTGCAACTCACCTCCCAGCTGATGAGTCCTCGCCTACCCTGAGCCGGACGCTGCTGTTTGGTATTAAACAAAGCACACAACATCCCCCCCTTGTGGAAGAGCCACCCGGCTTCTGGTGTGACGCTTCCCCAGGACTAGGCTCTGGCGGGGTTCACGGATGGCTTCCCAGCTGTCAAAACCTAACAATCCCTTGGTCCTTGGCCTGGGTAATTTCTGCAGCAGTTTCTCCTGGGGGGCCTTCCCATTTCTACACTGGTACACTCAAAAGTTGATCTGCCACGGGTTTTGAAGTATGGTCTCAACACTGTTTACTTCATATTTTTCTTTAAAGGTAGTTAATTTGGTTTTCTTTAAATAAATGTATTTTTGAAAGAAAATTTAATACTTCCTATAAATGGGAAACCATTACTATACAATAATCACATGAATTAAAAAAGACAAAAGGAGGTCATTCTCATACCACGCTGACTCTTCTTATATCCCATCATGTTTAACGTGCTGCTTGGAATGAGCGTCCACTTGGTACTGGCTTTCAGCCCCACCGGGACCGTCCCCACACCTGCCCTGCCTGCCTTTTCTCTCTATCCAGCCCCTGCTGTGCCTCCCGTGCTCAGATCTGCTTTCTGATGGGCACCCCAGTCTTTTCACCCCATGATGCTTTCATTGAGCCTGGTAGCTCTACCTCCATCACCCTGTGTACATTCCTTTGGTTGCTGAAATTTAAACCCCCTCCACTGAATTCCATTCATACTAAAGCCCACCCAAATTTCCCCCCCTCAAAATCCACCTCTGGCTCCTACAGCAGTTGCTGCCATCTGCACTGTGCTGGTTTCTTGGGGGGCATGTTTGCCTATTTTCCTAACCATTTAGGCTGGCAAACATGATGCTAAGCATTTGGAATAGAGTGGTGACCAGCTTCTTTCTTCTAAGAGGAAAGTCCATGTTTCTGAAGTTAGAAACCCTGCCATATTTTATGACCAGTGCAGAGCTTAATTAGTGATTCATCAGTAAGCAAGTCTTCCCTAAGCATTTGCGGTTCACATTGTACCAGCTGAGGGAACACAGAGAAGTTGTAAATGCTTGTCCCTATACACAGGCAGCCTACAATATCCTCTGGAAAGGGGGCATCAGGGAGACCAGCACGGCAGAGGGCAGGGGTGGAGGATAGCGACCCCAAGGAGACAATGGCAGCAAAGCTCCTCTGGGCTTGCTGTGGCCGCTACAGCCTCTGCGGAGCAGGCCCCACTGGAGCTGCGGGGGCAAGGCAGAGGGAATGTGGACACAGGAAACAGTCCAGGCTGGGGCCCATGGAAGGCAAAGCAGGGGAGCAGCCTCCTGACTGCAGGTGAAGGCGGGGGCCTGGGCCGTGGTACCTAGAGAAGGTAAGCCCAGGGGAATGGAATGGCAAGTCTTAAAGAATGATGGGCTGGATGCAGCATTTGAGAAGCTGGCCTGGGTTGGTGTGTAGCTGGCGGGAATGGGGGAAGCTATAAAACGGCCAGAGGGTGAGACTAGGGTAAAATCAGGCAGTGAGAAAAGAGCCCAAATCTGAATTCAGAACTGGGTATCTCAACTGGAAATTCCTTTGTGCTTTTTTGGTGGGTGCCAGGGGGAACTATAGCCAAAGCACCTGGGAAACCGAGCTTCTCTTTTCCATACTTGGCCAGATGCTAGGATTCAGAACGTGCCCCTGTATATATGCAGACTGTTTTTTTTCCAACAGCCTGTAATTGAGTCGTAGGCTCCTGGGCTGTTGATGTCTGAAGGAATTTGGAGGCTAGGAGAAGCATGAGCTGGATGGATGACTTGGGAAGTAAAAGGAAGCTAATTCAATATTTTAAAATCACTCAGAAGATAAACAAGTAGTTGCAATGAAGAGACTTACTCAAGGATTAAAAAAAACATTGCAAAGTGAGGCTTCATAATTCATTTGTACCTATGAGGTTCATATGCTGTCATCTGAAATTACTTATCAAGCTTCTATCCTGGATTTACTTTCTATATAAAATGGCACTTTGGAGAATAAGTAAGTAAACACTATTATGACCAGTGGTTTAAGAGAAAAATGCTCTCACAAATGGCAATACTAATTTTTTAACATTCTTTGGGAAAACATAATAGCTTGATATACTTGAGAACCCGGTAAGAACTACAGACGTTGTACTTAATCTTTAAAACTGATAGAGGTGTGTCCAAAAAGCTAATGCAGTTCCCTCTGATATAAATGGGGGAAGTAAAACACTAGATCACAGGCAGCACTCACACTTCAGATTCTGGTCTTACGGGCAGAGCCCAAGGGCAGGGAAAACTGAAGTGATTTAAAATAGTCTCTGATAGAATATACCTGATATTAGCAGGTTTGCTGAAGCGAAACGGTAATATCACAGAGATACAAAGGTGTAAAACCCATTTATGTGCGTCCAAATGTTCTGACGCCTGGACCGCACCATCCTTCAGGCGATCTGGACATGGATGGGCAGAAAGGTGCCGGGTACATATTAACAAGGAAGCCGGTAAGTAGGTGCTCTGAGGCCACATGTATTTTATGGGATGAACTGAGGAGCACTAGTGGGGTCTCTCATTGCACCCCTTTCATTGTTAGGGGTCCTGAGCAGCACCCTGAGTTCTGGCCACCTTCTTTTCATGTCTGTCTGCCATGACCTACCTTGGGGCAAGGTATTTTATGACAGCAGTAGGAACAAATACACGGTTACGTAGATGGTGGACCAAGTTCCACGGTTCCACTCACCTGCCAGGCCCACCTACTTAACTGTACTGTGAACACTACAGGCCAGTAGTTCTTTGTTACTTGGAGGTCCTGGATTGGTAACATTAAAGGGGATGAATGTCTGAGGCCAACAGAGTGGCCAAATGCATTTTTGCCTTCTGAGGACTTTTAAAATAACATGAGCACCTGAGTTGGAAAAAAAAAACCCTGAAAGAATTAATGGACCTAAGAATTAAAAATAGAAATTTCTGTTTATAAAATACTCACTACACTGCCCTATTTGCCTGCCTGTAACTGTGCTGCAGGTACAGACAGCAGGATGTCCCAGTGAGGCTGGAGAGGTGCAGAGCCTGGCCTGCCGCTAGTGACGCGGCCTTGCCCTGACCCAAGGAGGAAGGGTGCACAGAAGAATTGGGCATTAGAGCCCTTTTCTGCTCAGTACCTCCTTTTCCAAGTACTGAACCATGCTGCATCAGGCACTCATTTTTCTCTGCTTCGCCCTCCTGACCTGGGCCTTCTGGGTTCCCACCTCAGCAGCTCCCAGTTTCGCCTCCTCCCACTTCCCTCATTCCCAGCTTGCGCCAGCGCTCCAGGGACAGGCAGGAGACAGTAGGCGGGGACTCCTGACTGACTCAGACTTAAGTGGGTGGAACGTTCACTGCGTCTGACCAGTCGTGGAAGTACACGGATTTCTGCAAGCTGTGCGTTTGTCTCTCTGTCAGCACCCCTCCTCCAGCCACTTGCCTTGGTGGAGACATCAGGTGCACACGTCTCCTTCCCCCACATGGCTCGCCCTTCTTCCTTCCTCCATTCTGCTCCTCAGTTCATGCATGTGACAGGGGCCTTGTCCTCCTAACTCCAGCTCTCCCACATCGAGCCAGAGCCTCGGACGGTGACCCACCCTCCTGTGCTGTCCAGTCCAGCCCCTGCTGCCTGTCCCTCCCCTCCCCAGGCTCACAGAGGGCTCCTTGCCGTGCAGACCCCACACCGGCCACCTCCTGGTCCACCCCTCCTCCTGTTCACAGCCCTGCTGGGCAGGAGTCCCCATGTACCTTCTCTTACTTCTCACCTCAACACCCGGTGGGACACCGGGACCGTCCCCACACCTGCCCTGCCTGCCTTTTCTCTCTATCCAGCCCCTGCTGTGCCTCCCGTGCTCAGATCTGCTTTCTGATGGGCACCCCAGTCTTTTCACCCCATGATGCTTTCATTGAGCCTGGTAGCTCTACCTCCATCACCCTGTGTACAATCCTTTGGTTGCTGAAATTTAAACCCCCTCCACTGAATTCCATTCATACTAAAGCCCACCCAAATTTCCCCCCCTCAAAATCCACCTCTGGCTCCTACAGCAGTTGCTGCCATCTGCACTGTGCTGGTTTCTTGGGGGGCATGTTTGCCTATTTTCCTAACCATTTAGGCTGGCAAACATGATGCTAAGCATTTGGAATAGAGTGGTGACCAGCTTCTTTCTTCTAAGAGGAAAGTCCATGTTTCTGAAGTTAGAAACCCTGCCATATTTTATGACCAGTGCAGAGCTTAATTAGTGATTCATCAGTAAGCAAGTCTTCCCTAAGCATTTGCGGTTCACATTGTACCAGCTGAGGGAACACAGAGAAGTTGTAAATGCTTGTCCCTATACACAGGCAGCCTACAATATCCTCTGGAAAGGGGGCATCAGGGAGACCAGCACGGCAGAGGGCAGGGGTGGAGGAGAGTGACCCCAAGGAGACAATGGCAGCAAAGCTCCTCTGGGCTTGCTGTGGCCGCTACAGCCTCTGCGGAGCAGGCCCCACTGGAGCTGCCGGGGCAAGGCAGAGGGAATGTGGACACAGGAAACAGTCCAGGCTGGGGCCCATGGAAGGCAAAGCAGGGGAGCAGCCTCCTGACTGCAGGTGAAGGCGGGGGCCTGGGCCGTGGTACCTAGAGAAGGTAAGCCCAGGGGAATGGAATGGCAAGTCTTAAAGAATGATGGGCTGGATGCAGCATTTGAGAAGCTGGCCTGGGTTGGTGTGTAGCTGGCGGGAATGGGGGAAGCTATAAAACGGCCAGAGGGTGAGACTAGGGTAAAATCAGGCAGTGAGAAAAGAGCCCAAATCTGAATTCAGAACTGGGTATCTCAACTGGAAATTCCTTTGTGCTTTTTTGGTGGGTGCCAGGGGGAACTATAGCCAAAGCACCTGGGAAACCGAGCTTCTCTTTTCCATGCTTGGCCAGATGCTAGGATTCAGAACGTGCCCCTGTATATATGCAGACTGTTCTTTTTCCAACAGCCTGTAATTGAGTCGTAGGCTCCTGGGCTGTTGATGTCTGAAGGAATTTGGAGGCTAGGAGAAGCATGAGCTGGATGGATGACTTGGGAAGTAAAAGGAAGCTAATTCAATATTTTAAAATCACTCAGAAGATAAACAAGTAGTTGCAATGAAGAGACTTACTCAAGGATTAAAAAAAACATTGCAAAGTGAGGCTTCATAATTCATTTGTACCTATGAGGTTCATATGCTGTCATCTGAAATTACTTATCAAGCTTCTATCCTGGATTTACTTTCTATATAAAATGGCACTTTGGAGAATAAGTAAGTAAACACTATTATGACCAGTGGTTTAAGAAAAAATGCTCTCACAAATGGCAATACTAATTTTTTAACATTCTTTGGGAAAACATAATAGCTTGATATACTTGAGAACCCGGTAAGAACTACAGACGTTGTACTTAATCTTTAAAACTGATAGAGGTGTGTCCAAAAAGCTAATGCAGTTCCCTCTGATATAAATGGGGGAAGTAA